TTCTTAAAAATCTCTTACTTAATGAAATCTAGATTTCTAGGAAAGTAAATCTATCATGATCTGTAATACATAATGTTTAAAATCCTTCCATAATCTCTCTTGATTTTCCCCGTATGTGAATATACCTTTTTGGGAAGACATTATCTTGGTTTGGAAATTTGGAAAGATTTGATCTTGATTCTCCCTTGATAAATTTCCAAAATTCTTTGATCATGGTTTCCTTTTTACCACTTGAGAAAGATATGAAAAATAAAAGGAAACTTTCCTTTTAGAGGAAAAAATCTCTCTTGAATAGGAAAAAAATCTCTCATGGGTGAAGAGAGATTTCCCATGGACTTTCAACTTCTTTAGGAGTTGTTTGTGACATCCCAGATACCTAACAGGGTAAAAAAGAACTTGATAATAGAAACAGATACAAGTGCAAGTAATAAAATATATGTATGCAACAGAAAATAGAATCCCTTACAACTAAACATAAGTTTAATGTTTACAACTGATGCTAAAAAGATGGCTACTAAAAATTTATATACACAAAAGTTATAAGAGTCACTTTTATCATTGCAATTGGTTCCATCAGAACAAATAAAATATGGCACTCGTAAATATCCTAAAGATCCATAAAGGGATCCAAACAAGCTTTAAGGAGCAACTCAGCGAACGAATTATCATTTTTATCATTTGAATGGGGCATGAATTGGGGTGAGTTTCTCATAACTCAGTAAGAAAAATAGTATTTATACTATACTATTAAGGTTTTCAAAGGTGATTTAACTTTTCAATTAAAATGTTCGTAATCAATAAATGACTTACCGGAGCAGTTAGTCGTAAGATGACTTTATTTTCAAATGTTTAGAAAAACTTTTCTTTCTCAAGAAAAATCATTTAGACATTGTTAATCTACCAAGCAGTAAAGGCAGAGAGGAAAACAAGATGGTTGGATATAATCAGACACTGAAATTGAATTTAGTTGAACCAACCATGAACATAACAAGATCATGATAAAATATAAAATAACAATCATACAAATCCACTATAATGCATCAGCAACTATCCTAATCATGTTATCAGGTAGTTGGGTTTTATTTACGTCTTTTACTGACATCCGCGCAAAATCGTTCCGACATATATCCACTAAAGCCAGGAGGGGATCCCCAACTACCATTATGAATGACATTCAGTCCATTTCCATGTTAAGTATAAACTAATGATCACGGTCGTACTTCGCTACTATGGCCCTTATATATGATATTGCAAATTCATTCTCATCAAAGGAAACACTAGCCTCATTCACAGGGAAAAGTTCACCAACATTTTCAAATATAGAGTTAGTTAGAGAGAGAAATTCCTCAAAGATAACAGTCAAACGGATTTTCTATTTTTTTCTCTTTCTTATACTGATTTCATTTATAACGGTCATATATTTAGGAACCGGTGCAAGGCCCATCAACATAACTTGACACAAAAGCCCATGTTACCCGGACTTGACCATCTGTCATCGTTTTGAGCCAGGGCCCCATAGAATGACTATCTTCACCATTACTAAAGGTAAGGCAAAGGGTCAAACCCATACATGCTTCAAATCATCGTGTTTTACATCAACCAAGCATATTAGTTCACGTTTCATGCTCAAGTAAATTAGCAATTAATCATATTTCATGCACCAAGATCATTCAATTTTCAACATGACTTATTTAGAAAATTCACTTTGAAATGTAAGAGAAAATACCAACAGATTCCTTACTCAAACCTTAAACTTTTTGTGAGTCACTTATCTTTTTGGGAGGTGAAGGGGAGGGTATTTACGTCCATAGATCTTTGAATGAAGTTGAAAAACTCTTTATCTCATTCTCACCTCTTTCTTACTCTCTTTCTCTCTCTAGACTGTCCTTCTCTCTCTAAATTTTCTTTTGGAAAGTGAAAGATGGTAGAAGTAAATGGAAATGAAGAACAATGAGGAGAAAAAGTCCCTTTAAATAGCCATGAAGGGATCTTGGATGCTCACCACGAGGCATCCATCGGTGAGGACACGTGGAGTGAGAGAGGGGCAGCTAACGACAAGACGGCTTGACGGGACCACACGACAGCCGAGGTGACAAGGCTGTGCGGCAGCAAAGGCAACAAGACCGCGCGAGTCGATGAAACCCATGCTGTCAGCGCACGGATAGCTATGCACACAGGTGCCTGTGCGTACAGGAACACAAGCCTACTACCACACGCAACGTGACTACGCAAGGTCCCCCTCACATCGCGGGTTCACGGGATTTTCCGCCGTTTTTCGATTTTTCCTCAGTTTTCTTCTTTCTTTCCTTCCTAAAATAATTATAAGATAATTTCTAAAATAAAATAAAATAGTTAATTAAAAGTATTTCATGCCAATGGCACACTGAAAAACATGCAACCACAGTTTCAAATACCACTAGGAAATTAATTGTTAAAGATTTTGGGGTGTTACATTGTTTCCTTTCTTGATTTGGTTGTTAACTTGAATAGTCCAAATCATTCGTGTTCACATCATCCCTTTCTTCTTCAAAAACGATTCGTTCTCAAATCTGGAGCTTCTTATTTAGGGGCTTTGTCAACTCCACTCCTTTTTGGAAGATATCCTTAGGATTTTGCGAAACAACACCGCTAGATAAAGAAAGATTATAATTAGATATAGTCTTTTATCTTTCTCCCACCAAAGATTCATTGATTTTATTTCCTCCTGTGTCCTTTCTTATCTCTTCTCCTATGATATATCGTTGTCTTTTTCTGCGACATTGTTTCTCTTTTCTTCCACGACAACTTCTTTCTTTTCTCCTGCAACTTTATTTTCCTCAAATGTTTGCTTGATCTTTAATTGATCTTAGAATGCTTCCTCAGGTGATAAAGAAACAAGAATATGGTTAAGTTCATTCATGCTAAAGAAATAGCAGTTCCTTAAGCCATCATGGATTGCACATCTCACATTTTTCCATGATCTCCCAAGTAATAGTTGACTAGCATGCATTGGCACAACATCTCATATAACGTCGTCAGTATATCGTCCAATAGTAAAAGAAATCAATACCTGTTTGGATACCTCCACCTCCCCACATTCATGTGGCAGTTGTAACTTGTAAGAATGAAGATGTTTTGTGCATGTCAAGCCCAACTTGTTAACCACTATAGGACTAACAGCATTGGTGCCGCTATCTTCATCAACCCGTAGGCTGCACACTTTCCCATTCACAAAACAATGAGTATAAAAACTGTCATGCTTATCATTCTTTAAATCTGATCGTCTTTTCTCCACATCATCACATGAATTCGCCACCTCCAAGATTAGGCTTTTGGCTCTTGATGAAGTAAAAGATCTTTAAATTACTTCTGCCTAATTAAGCTCTCTAAGCCTTTTTTGGAACCTTTCTTCTTTGTAACCTTTCCATACAAAGTTTCATATCGGTTAGTTCCCTAGGCAAAAACACTGTGAGAAACCTGCAAGAAAGGTTAGAAAATAACACTCCATCGCATATTTCACTCTTGTGTTTCACTCACTCTCTCAATCTTCTCCCTTCAAGTTGAATACCAGAATTGAATTCTCCTGAATCAAGGTAATCAAGTTTTGTTTTATAATACTTCAAAGAATCCCAGAGAAAGAAAATTGTATACAAAAATTCT